AGGGAATTTGATTCCTAGATGGGAGAGAGAGAAATTTTTGAAATTTTGTCCAACCTTCCTGCAAGGTTCGGCCATCCATATGATGGATCCCTCATCTCTTCAATGAGATCTTTCTAATACGAAGTTTCCTTCCATCTGAGGATTCTCATAATATATGTGTGTTACTTCCCTTCGTGGGTCTCCTGAATTGACATGGCGCAGGTGACGTCAAGACTAATCTGACGTGTTCTTGCTCGGTCCTGCTGGATGTTGTGTTATGAGTGACTTTGGTTGATGGTGTTTTCATCCTTCGTAGGTCTATGATGACTTCGAATTCCTCGCAAGTCTGTGATGAGTTATGGACTCATTACAGATCCACATCAGCTTGTGTGTTGTCATGGGTGTTTTTATGGTTTCTGTGATGAGCATGTACTTATAGATGGTCCTTGCCTAGGTATTGGAGTCACTACAAAATAAGAAAAAAACAATTTCTTATCCCAAGAATCCCATTAGTCTCTTCTGTTCTAAGTGATGGGTTGTCACTCTAACACCTTATCCATGAAGTGAGGCACCTTTCGATGCTTACACCTGTCAAGTAAACCATTTAACCTATCACATGGAGTAAAAGTAGGGGTGCAAGTTAGGTGCCTAATTTCAAGAATATTCGCTGCATCAAATTAGTCTAGATCTAGTCTCAACATATAGCCCCAACAAATGTCTCAACAAGCCATTACAATCATACATTGAATAGGAGGTGATCTTGATGTATGGATGCAATGGCATGTTGGGACTACAAATTGGGACCAAATCTGAACTTGCATCAAGCCCGGACTTTCAAGCTAGGCCCATTCAAATTTTAACAAATTCCTAATCAAAGCCCACAAAATTGCACCCCCAATCAAACCCCACAAAAATATTTTAAATAGTAAAACAATCTAGAGAGAAGAAAGATTGAAAGAGAGAGAGAGAGAGTTGAGTATGCGGTGACTCCACAATAGGTACCTTCATTCCAGTCATGATGATTTGGTAGCATCAACAATAAATAGCATTTCCTCTTCCTCCTCTTCCTCCTCCTCCTCCTCCTCCTCCTCTTCTCTTGTTGTTTCTTATCTAGTAAAGAATGGAACTTCTAACTTCACCTAATATTCCCATCTAAGGGCTAATATGGCCCTTATCCAACACATAATCTTTGGCAATCTGACTTGTTCAACCTAGACAATTAAACTAATGAATTGAAACCCAAACAAAAATTAGGTCATCCTCGAAGTTGGGTTTTAAAACACTGGTTTCTATATGGAGTTACCATATAATTAGATTAGAAATCAAGATATATAAGTGTGTCAAATTTTAAATATATGATTCATACTCTATTGGATATTTAAGTGAATTTGGATTTCATAGATCCATATCAACTTGTATTCAGACATACCCCTGTTAGAATTTGATCTAATTCAATTTGTAACACTATTGGTCTACAAAGACTAAAAAAGCATGACAACTCAAGATTGAGAGGTGAACTTAGCATAAAATGATTGTTCTATTCTGTGTTTAAATAGGATAGTATATACAAAGATAAGGATAATAGTTATCCTAAATGCAAGGAAGAACTCTCCTTAGCATCTCCCTCAAGTGTGGCAGGGCTGCTGATACTGTGATCTTGACTATAAGATCATGGAAGTGAGCTAAAGATAATGGTTTTGTAAAGATATCCATGGGTTGGTCCATGCTTGGAATATGTTGAATGACTATACTTTATAAGCAACCTTGTCAATGTGTTTGGCTTGAGAGTGATGAATCAGATTAGCAGCCAAGAAAGTGACACTCAAATTGTGACACCACAATTTGGATGGACGAGGCAGTTGGAAGCCCAACTTAGATAACAACATTTGTATTCAAAGGATTTCAGTGGTTGTGAAGAGGATGATATTCGGATTTTTTGTACTTAAAGGGATATGAAGGGTTGCTTTCACGAACTCCAAGAGATGAGATTGCAACCTAGGAAGCTAACATATCCATGTTAAGAGAGGATTGGTCCACTAGGAAACTAGCCCAATAAGAGCTTAACAACACTCTAGTGAATAGTGGTAACTGTTTTTGTGAATTGGCACACCTTGTTCACAACATAAGAGATGTTATGACAAAGTGAGGGTGGGATGTTATAATGTGCCAACCGGTTTTTTCAAATCGTTGTGACGGTCAGACTGTTCAGCCCAGGAACTGTCTAGGTAAACAGTTCTGTTACACCCTTGTCCCATTCCTGGGCCAAAACTGTTGATTTGGTCAAAAAACCACTGACCCAGGCAATCGAACTGATGTAGCGCGATCTAGTCACTCTTAACTGGCAACAGACAGCACTTGAGAGGGAAAAGAAGATGAAGAATTCCCAGGGAACTCGCCTAGCGGGAACACTCCGATGGTTAAGTTAGAACTCAATGTAGAGCTTAGAGAGTTGTGAAGAAATAAATGCTAAGAGTGAAGATGCGCAGTTTTCGATTACAAAAATTCAATTACCTTTTTCCTTGGGGGTCGAAGCCCTTATATACTAATGCTCTGTCAAATCGGGTGTAACCGCCTCTGATTCTCTTCTACAGCCGTTATTCGTCAGGCTGATTCGATTGGTGCAGGTATCTGTCATAGGGTACGGTCCTCATGCCGCCTAACGTGAGACGTGGGCGCAGTCCTCTGGACTGGCAGGTGCTGCACCGCCGGACAAGAGACGTGGGGGCAGACTGAAAAGCACGGTCTTGTTGGATAAGAAGTTTCTCGTAGACTCTGGGTTACTCAATAACGAGCTCCTTTGTAGCGAGCTCCCTTGTAGCAAACTCCTTCGTAGCGAGCTACCTTGCAGCAAGTTGTTCTATGGCAGGCTATAGCGAGCTATAGCGAGCTGTTCTGCTGGGGTTTCAGCGAGCTCATTACGCCGAGTTGTGGCCAAGCTGTCATGCTGAGCTACCACTTACATCGAGTCATGTCCACGTGCCCCTTAGTTAGGAGGTTGGGTCAAATCACCCTCCATCAATTGCCCCCCACTCCTCGGGCTAAAGGTCTTACTCTAGCGCGGGGAGTTCATGAAGTGACAGGTGGATTTGACCCATAATTTAAACTAAGTTGACTAACCGCATGAAGTATACGCGTGGATGTCAAGCAATTTCTGGATTTTTCGGGTGCCAAAAAACGCGCCAAGCTGCCTTCAATTTCGGAAGACGTGCAGCCAGCTTTATTTTAGTCTCAGAGGACGTGCAGCTGGCTTTATTATAGGCCGTTGGATTCGCTTTGATCGAGACCGTTGGTTTTTTGGGCACAGTGGCTATAAATAGGAGAGCCCCATGCCTCATTTTCTTTACGCCAACTTGCCTTGCTTTCAGTTTTGAGGTCGTGCCTTCGCCTTGTTTGCTCGAGCTCTCCCCATTCTCGTCACTTTCTCAGTTCACTTTTTTGGTGAGTCCTCTACTCTATCCAAACAATGTCTGGGTATCCATACTATGGTGGCGTTTCCCGAGACGGTAATCAGGGCGAGGTCCCCTCGAGCTCGGGGGGAGCTAGGGGGTTCCCTGAAGGGCAGGCTCTGGAGGTCCAAGAGGCCTCCGGTAACTTGGCTTCCACTTCCTGGGGTCGGGAGCCAGATAGCTTCGGCCCTTCCTCCATGTCTATGGAGAGACTCCAGGCCCTAGTCTCTAACTATAACCTCCCCAGGGATCTCATTTACAGCCTCCCATCCGGCAACTATCCTTGGGAACACGGCCACGACGAGATCATGATCTTTGAGGAGCAACTTATGGCTAGTCTCTGACTCCCTCTACACCCTTTGATAGTGGAAGTTCTTACCCACTTCAATGTCACCATAGACCAACTCCACCCGAACTCAATTCGGAATGTGGTTGGGACAATTTCTCTGTTTTTTGAGTACTGTCTTCCTCTTTCCCTTGATACCTTTGCCACTATTTTGTCAATTAAGAATGCCTCCCCCGGAGCCCCTCCCGAAAGGTGCTTTTATTACTTTTCCCCCATCCTGGCTTCAAGCTCCTCCACGAGCTACCAAACAGGATCCTAGCTTGGAAGAGGGGTTATTTTGTAGTTCGCAACCTCGAGGGGTGGCCCTTTCCGACCCACTAGAGGGCCGCCATTCAGGATCCGGGCGTTGAGTTGAACCCAAAGGTTCGAGAAACGCTACAGTCTTGGGTGGGGGTAGGCTTCCTCTGTTCGGACTACCTAGCTGAGGACAGGCTCTTGTAGGCCGGCCTGAGCCCCGATAGGTTACCTTTAGGTCGCCTTCTTCTCTTTCTTTTATTTTTTTTTTCGAGTTGGTTTAATGCCTTGTGATTCTTGCAGCCAACATGTCTGGTGTGGATGCACGTCGCCTTTTGTTGAGCAACCAGAAGCGTAGGGCAAAGAGGTCGCGCCCCGACCAAGCGTCCACTTCTGGGGCCGCCGAGTTCGAGGCTGTAGACCCAGCCTTTGTTCTGCTGCCGGAGGTCCCACCTGTGCCGTTTGAGGGAGTAGCCACAGGGGGCGGCGAAGAAGAAGAGGTCCCACTCCAGCAGTAGTACCCTCCGGCCGCGCGGTCTGGCCCCACCGTCTTCCCGCGGTTTCCTACCGAGGGGAGGGACGAAAGCGTCACCAACTTCCTCGTGGCCTCACAGAGGAGCCGACAAGCGGTCGATCACGAGGAGATCGCAAACTGGGCCAGGATGCACCCTTGGTATCTCTCTAAGCTGGCCTCGGCTCACTACATGGTGGTAAGTGCCTGCTTCCCTTTTTCTCCCCCTTTCTTTTCTCTCTCCCCTTACCTCGGCTTTCTATTGGCAGCTGAACTCCGCTATTCACGCCATGGCTTGTCAGACTTCTATTCACTCCCAGGACGACATCAATGAGAGGTCGGAAGTGTGGAGGCTCCAACGCGAGCTCGACCAGGCCCGGGATGAGGTCCTCCAGGCTCAGAAGGAGAGCGAAGCCCAGGAGCTGCTCGTTAGGGACCAGGAAGCGCGGATCTACTGACTATCTGAGGAGAGCGCCCGTTACAGGGAGGAGTCTTTGAGGGTGGCGGTGGAGAGGGAGCTTCTTCGTCAGCAGGTCAAGAGCTTAGAGTCCACGCTCCATGAGCGGACCCGTAACTTTGACACTGCGGTTGAGGAAGAGCGGGCTAAGGCGGTGGAGGACTTTAAAGAGTCCCAGCAGTTCCACGACCTCCAGGTTGAGTACGGCTCGAAGTCCTACCGCTCGGGGTTCAAGCTTTGCCGATGGCTGGTCAGGAAGAAGTTCTCCAGTCTTAACCCTGAAGGCGTAACAATGAGGGACCTGGCCCCAGAGTCGGCGGACACTACGGAGGAAGAGGAGCCCGACTCCCTGGAGGAGAGCGAAGAGGATGTAGAGGTGGTGAAACCTTGAGGTTGGTTTCCTTTTTCTTCTTCTGAATGATTCTTTTGAAGTGGTTGCTCCCGGGTAGCTGAGCCCGGTTCTTTTCCTTTTCCTTTTACCTTGATGTACTCTCCCAGGCTGTTAGGCCCGGGTCTCTTTTTATAAGGACTAGTAATGAAATGTTTCCCCTTTTTTTGCTAAGTGTCGTGCGCTTTATTCTTTTGCCGAAGTGACTATTTCACTCGAACTGTTAGAGCTAAGTGCCCAAAGTGGGGTTTATCGATTATCGTTACCCCGAGCTGTCCACGTACACCGAGGTGACCAACATAGCGAGCATATGCCCAACCCGTATGCACCTGGGTTACTTAAGTTGAAGTTGGTTGTCCCTGACGGGTCCAACTTGTATACCGGGGCGGGCTATGCATCATAGGATTCACATCCGAGCTGCCTGCGCCTTTGATATTAATACTTAGCCTATGCTGATGAAGCGGTCAAGTCTTATATGATGCCGATGTCTTCATTAGCTCGGCGTTTTAGCCCTTGGGCTGGGGGAGTGACTTATGGTCCACTCTCTTAGAGTTCGCCCATGCCATAGAGACAACTGGGTCCTATAGTGCCGAGGTCTTCGTTGGCTTGTCATTCTGGCCCTTAGGCTCGGGGAGTGACTACGGTCCACCCTCTTTTGGAGTTCGCCCATGCCGAAGAGGCGACTGGGTCTTATTGTGCCCAGGTCTTTGTTAGCTCGGCATTTTGGCCCTTAGGCTCGTAGAGCGACTTGTAGTTCACTCAGCTTGGTGATTATAGGTATTACAACCTTAAGTTGACAATATTCCATGCCCGAGGTATTTGTTTCCCTTCTAGGGTTTCAAGCTCATACGTTCCTTCCCCGAGCACCCGCTTTACTCGGTAGGGTCCTTCCCAATTTGGCTCGAGCTTACCAACAGCGGACTCAAGCACCATAACTTTACGAAGGACCAGATCTCCGACGCGGAGGTACCGCTTCTTGACCCTGGCGTTATAGTAGTGAGCTACTCTCTGCTGGTAGGCTCCTAATGTATGCGAGGTCCCATACCTCGTCAAGTAGGTCGAGGTTGGTGTGTAGCTCATCTTCGTTAGCTTTGTCATCGTACACTTCTAGACGTAGCGTGGGAACCTCGATCTCGGCTGGGATGACTGCTTCAGTGCCATAAGTGAGGTTGAAGGGGGTCTTGCCTGTTGCAGTTTTCATCGTGGTCCGATAAGCCTATAGTACACTATGTAGCTCGTATACCCATAGTCCCTTAGCTCGGTCGAGGTGTGCTTTCAGTCCGCGGAGAATGGCTCTGTTCGTGACCTCTGCCTGGTCGTTTGCTTGAGGGTGTGCCACCAAGGTAAAGTTTTGTTGAATTCCCATATCTTTGCACCAGTTCTGGAATTTTATATCCTTGAACTGCTTACCATTTTGTCAGAGATCAGTACTCGAGGTAGTCCGAAATGGCACACTATATTCTTCTAGAAGAAGTTTTGCACATTTCGCGCTGTGATCGTTGTGAGAGGTTCAACTTCTATCCACTTAGTGAAATAATCAACTGTCACCACTAAGAACCTCCTCTACCCTGCTGCTGGCGGAAATGGTCCGAGTATATCAATCCCCCACTATGCAAAAGGCCACGGGCTGGTGAGATACTTCAGGTCGGCGGCAGGCTGGTGGTAGATGTTGGCGTGCTTCTAGCACTTGTCGCATCTTCTGACGAGCTCGATTGCATCTGCCTTCATCGTTGGTCAGTAGTATCTATGTCGTAGCGCTTTCTGGGCAAGAGCCCTGCCCCCCAAGTGTCCGCCGCACAGGCCCTCATGAGTGTCGCGGAGTACGAGCTCGGCCTCGAAAGGTCGCAAGCAGTGCAGATAGGGAAGCGTGTATGATCTTCGGTACAGCCGTTCATCTATTATGACATATTTAGCCGCCTGACGCTCTACCCTTCTAGTAGTGTTACGATCTGCAGGGAGGGTCCCGCGCAACAGGAAGCTCGCGAATAGATCGATCCAGCTCGGCTCTACTTGTACGACAGGAGCGACCTCCTTTGCCCCCCCAAGAATGCTAGGTCGAGGCAAGTTCTCTATGTACACGGTTCTCATGGTATTTCCCACAGACGGCGCCAAATGATGTAGTGCAATCATGGTTGGCTCGTGAACTTCATATTTGCCTATAACTTGGTTGACCACGAGTTGAGAATCACTGCAGATGACAATGWGCTTGGCTTTCACTTCATTTGCTAGATCTAGCCCGACTATTAGCGCCTCATACTCCACTTCATTGTTGGATGCCGCGAACTCAAAGCGTAACGCATACTCTAGTTTCACCCCGCTTGGCCCATACAGAACCATTCCAGCTCCACTGCCCTGCTAGTTGGATGAGCCATCCACATGAAGGATCCAAGGCTCCTCATCCCAGGTCGGGTTTGATCTAACTAGGAAAGAAACCACACTGGTTGCTACCTCACGATGCTCGAGCTCAACCAGCCTGGGAAACTCGGGCTCATCCAATCTGGGGGCCTCAGGCTTGACCGGCCAGGGGACTTCGGTGCTGAAAGTGCATTAAGCGACAAAGTCAGCTAAGGCTTGGACCTTGATAGCAGTTCACTGAGCTCGATGGCCCACTTTGTCAACCTACTAGAGACCTCAGGCTTGAGCAAGACTTGCCTCAGAGGCTTATTAGTGAGGACGACGACAGTATGAGCTTGGGTACGGACGGAGCTTCCAAGCTGCAATGACTAGTGCATACGCCAACTTTTCGATCTCTGGATACCTYATCTCTGCACCCAGTTGAGATCGTAGGGGCTCCTAGATTGAAGCACCGATCTGGAGTGTCCGAGCTCAGTCCTCTGCCAAGGTTGGGATGGAGATGGTCTCTTCCGTAGGTGCAGCTCCCTCTTCGCATTGCTCCATAGGTCGCTCCAGATCGAGGTCGTCAGCCACCTTGGCTTTCCCTTTGAGGGCGGCGACGTAGCACTTGCGAGACTCAAGCTGATCGCCTCGCGCTACCCCAACTCCGAAGTCCGTGGGGAACTTCTTCGCCAAATAATAGGTAGAGACCACCGCACGGAGAGCATGGGTGATGGGCCGACCTCTTATGGCATTGTACGGGGAGGGAGTTGCGACCACCAAGAAGTCATGGTTGAGCCTCACTATGCTAGGCCAAGTGCCGACTTCCACATGTACTATGATTCTCCCTAGGGGCCTGACTTCCTCTCCGCTAAAGCCTACCATGGGAGTACTTGCAGGCTTGAGGTCGCTCTCTTGGAGCTGAAGCTTGTCGAATGCTGCCTTGAAAAGAATGTCTGTCGAGTAGCCAGAGTCAATGAGGACATGCTTGACTTCGAAGTCATTAATCCTTATCTTCATGATGAGCGCGTCATCATGCGGGTAGTGGACCCCGTGTGCATCATCCTCGGTGAAGAAGATCGGGTCTTCTGTCCTTGGCCGCTTCGGGGGGCTCTGCTCTTCCCTTCTGACCTCACACGCTGATGTCCGAGCTGCAACCGAGGTGTAGCCCGCGATGATCGATCCTCTAAGGATCACAAGAATAGTCCCCTGAACTGGTCTCTCTTCAGGGGACTGCCTCTGCGGCTACTCTGCTTGCCTGCTGTTGGGCTCGAGAGCATCTCTACCCTACTCCCCTTGCTGACCAGCTTTATTATTATTATTATTTTGTACAAACTTTCTCAAGTATTTGCGACGGATGAGCTCTTCTATCTCGTCGCGGAGGTTCTTACAATTCGCCATACTATGACCGTGATCTTTATGAAAACTACAATACAAGTTCTTATTTCTTACATTGGGGTCCCCTTTTAGTCGGGGTGGCCACTTCACATACGGGGCATCTTTGATCGCCATAAGGATCTTGGCCCGCTTCGCATTTAGGGGTGTGTAGTCATTCATTTCTACTGAAGGAGCTCAAAAAGGCTGACCTGGTCTTGCCCCCCGAGCTGGGTCTTTTTTCTTCTTGCTATCCCCTTGGATCGAGGGCTCACCTTCCCTTTTCCTTTTTTCGGGCACACTTTCATTTTTTTGGCCGATCTCCTCCTCCGTTCCTATGAACTGGTCCGCGAGCTTGAGGAACTCGGTTACAGTCTTGGGTCAATTGACCACCACGTGCCACTTGAACTCTTTTTGCATGATGCCCCTCTTGGTTGCTGTGAGCCGCACTATGGGGTCTAAGTCGGGTATCTGCAGACAAGCGTCATTGAACTGCTTGATGTAACTCCAGATGGACTCTCCTTCCCTCTAGACTATGTTGATGAGACTCTCCTAGGTTCTCAGGCACCGCTTACTGGTGACGAAATAAGATGTGATGACTTGCACGAACTGTGCCTAGCTTCTTATTGACCAGGCCGCAAGATTTTGGTACCACGTGCGAGCTACTCCTTTGAAAGTGGTGGAGAAGTCCACGCACATGCAGGACTCACTAGCCCTAGCCATGTGCATCTGCGACTGGAAGGCATCAACATGGTCACTCGGATCAAACGATCCGTCATACTTGTCTAAGGGAGGAAGCTTGAAGTCCCTTGGCTTAGGGACGACTAGAAGTTTTGGAGACAGGGGGGACGGCACTGAGAGGAGCAAAGTGGCTTTCACTTCGCCTGAGCTTACCTCTTCCTTACCCTTGAGCACAAGCCGGTTGTGAGTGGCAGTTCGGCGAGCTCGGCGGCGTCTCCGCTGCTTCGTTGGCTCGGCGTTAGTACTGCTTGCTTCTGTGTTGCTGAGCTCAATGGGCCCAAGAAGGGGCTCGAATTGCTGGTGATGGTTGTGAACTGAAGGGCCTTGTCTACAGTTCGCGGCTAGGACCTCGAATTGATTCTCGACGAGCGGAATCTCGAACTGTGAGGGCCGAGGCAATGCGGGTCTGACTGGCTAAGAGGCCCCCGACCTGACTATAGACTGCGAGGTGGGGGGAGTAACTTGTTTTTCCCTCCTGCCGTGGGATGAGACCTGACTCCCAAGAGGATTCTGAGTTTGGGAGGTCTCTCCTCGACGTGGGAGACACTCGCTGC